GGGTGGATGCATGTGTATGTATGTGTGCGTGCATAAAAGAAGTGCAGAATGATAAGAATATCAGCTTGGAGGGTTCAGGGTATCTCCTAGTCGAGCAGTCTCGACTAGAGTCTTCTTACTTGTTATTAGTTGTACTTTATTGAATTCGTCGATTGAATGAATTGCTCAATGAGCGGTTCCCCCCAAACAGACGCCACTCCAAACGCCCCCATCTCCACTCGCCCTTAACTGTCCTCGCTGTCACCATTCCCGTTTGTAGGGATTCTCAAATGAAATGGGATAGAAAATATGTGAATTATCTATGTGAATGCTTGCTCAGAGCTTACGGAAGGACAAATTCTATGAATTGAAATACTATTTAAATTACGGCTTGCTTACGGGAATAAAAAGATTTCCCTGAAATATTTCCAGAAATATATTTTGAAATAATGCAATCATCCACTTTTACTTGGGAAAAGATTTTCCAACTACTTTTCTTTTCAACAGAAATTGATTTGCAGTTCTTAATTTAAGTTAAAGCTTTGAAATTTACAAATCATATCAAATAGAGTTTAATTTATTATTTTGAACATATTTAGAGCACATTTACGTGTAATTTTGCAAGCAATTCTTTCACATTTCCTATCAGACAAGGTTGTACTTATACTCCATTCATAGAACATGTAGCCTTGATCAACAACAATCGTCATCGGAGTCCGAGTCTGAATCATCTAAGGCATCGCAAATTTCCTGCGCAGTTTTCGGCTTGCTGTTGGCTGACGCACATTTGATGGTCTTCGAGCAACTTACGGCGCTGCGGAGCAAGCTCTCCTCTATAGTGGTTGTAGCTAGCTCTATAGCGCCGTAAGCCCTCTTCGATCCAAAGTTCTGCAGCTGCATAGCCCGATTGATCATGACATTCAGTTTGATTTTCTCCTTATCGAGGCAGTTGAGCAACTGTTTTATCTCGTTCCTTTCCTTGTAGGTCTTGCAGGGATTCTCGCACAGCTCGCGTGTTCGCTCCTTCATGTCGTTTATAATTGCATTCTGGCAATCGATCTCCTTTGTCAGATCGAGATACTCGCGGTACATGCGATGCTCCTCTTCGTTATCCTCGCTCGACTCGTCCAGCATCTCGAAGGGATCCACCTCGCTCTCATCGGCTTTGTCCTCGTCAACTGCTTCCTCTTGCTCCTCGGCTGTTGCCTCTGCTTTTTCGTCTTCTTCTGCCGTCTGAACGGTCTCTCCCTCTGGAGCTTCTTCCTCCCCAGCATCAGCCATTTGGTTGGTTTAGCACAAGTTAAAAATTTTTAATTTCCTAACAATTTAGACCAGTTTCGAAATATTTTGTCAAGTGAGTTATGACAGATGAATAACAGAGAACTTGACTAGAGATTGAAGTATTGAGGTGACCTTTCAGATATGATTATATGATTACATTTAACTGAAGTATCATATCGTAATCAAGGAGGATAAGCTCCTTTGAGTTGTTAAACGAACCTTACTCAATAAACTGAATCGAATAGGAATATGTATATATAAGGAAAAGTTTTTCAATTAGGCTGCATTTTATTGTCCCTGACTGAAAAGTGGAATCGAAATGGAACTGAAATTGAAATGGAATTGGGAAACTTTTAAGTTCTCCTTTCTCCATTTTCCATTTAGCGACGCACTTTGAATGCACTTCGGCTGATGTCATCATTGGTTTTTATGGCAGGTATTAGCCGCCGCTTACATTGTGTCTACATTTTGCTTACTTTTGATGCAGCGCACGGTCGCCCGCCTCTCCCGCCACACCCGCCTATGGGTCACCCGCCCACCTGTGTGTCCCCTCTGTCCTGATGACGCCTCATAAATACATGTGCCGCCATAATGTCGGCGCCCATAAAAAACCCAACTCGAATGCGAAAACTAAAGCTGCTGAAATCGTTGCTCACAGGTAAGGCGATGCGAGAGTCCTTTATTATAGGGAATACTCGTAAAGTGGCTTAAGTGCCTTGAGGGAGCCGCTGCTCCTGTCGATGACTGTTGCTGCTGCTCCTGCTGCTCTCCAGCTTATGCTCCATCGTTCGAATGCACTTAATGCCAAATTAAATGCAATAGGGGTGCGTGGAGTGGGGCTTAGGGGCTGTGGCAGCCATGAAAACCGCTTTATGATTAATGCGCAGCAGAGCCATGGCGACTCGCGTCGAGTCGAGAGTTATGCGCCTTGAAGCGTAATCCGCGTGGCATCAGCAGCAACAGAAATCACAGTGCCAATAAAAGCGTTAGGCAAGGGCTAGGCGCCCAAAGGGGTGACCACGGCAGGGGCGCAACAGCTGCAATAAAACATAAATTTCTGACTGGCGAAAGGAAACGGAAATGCGTGCATTAACCACTAGCAGAGGGGGGTGCTTAAAAGGCGACAGTTAAAGGGATGTTAGTCAAGAGGGAGAATAGTTGAAGGGCTCTAGCTAAGGCGGAGGGAGTGAAGTTGAAGTGGGAGCAAGGGGAGTTGTCAAAGGGGGAACAGTCAGAGAAGGACTCCTCAAAGGATGGCTTAGGTATGCCACTCGCCAAGTGTTGACTGCCTTCCGCTTGGCTGATGGCTCGTTCTGTTCGGCTTCTGGTGGTCTGGTAATGCTGAAAACCACTTAACTGCCGCCCGGCTGCCACGCTGCTGTTAGCACATTTAAGTTCAGTGTGTACGAGAGATAACTCGGATCTCTGCTGTTTTCTCTCTCATTTTTTGGCATATTTCCCGGCAGCCATTTGCTGTCTCTGACACTTGGATTAGTTCTGCTCGGCGCTGTAGCCCTGACACAAATATGAACCCCATGGCTGAGTCCCACAGCCAATGACAGGCAAGGACATGGGCGGCATCATCATTAGCCAGGGGGAGAAACGCGTTGCAGGCCCCCCATCTGCAAGGCAGACACAATCTGCATTGCTGCCAGCTAACTGCTTGTCTCAATGCATTTTCGATCTGTGCGCAGATTACGTATACGACATGTTGAACGCCTTAAAGACTTTAACATGCTAAATCAAATACAATTTGTGCAAACTTTCATTTGCAAGCAGTGCAAATACACACATGCACAAACACACACCCATACACACCCACACACACACATATGCTTTGTCTACACATAAGTTTTGGTCCTTTGCAGAATCTTTGCGCTTCGCCCTTTTGGCTGCATGCAAGTTTTTCTTTCAAGTTTATCTGCAGCCGACTCTCCTCTCGCCCTCTGCCTCCTATATTTGCCTTCAGTTTACTTTTCTTCTAGGTTTTCTTTTCTTATGCATACTTCTTTTTTTCTTGTGTCAGGCATTGCAACTGGCGCATTTGTTTTGTTTGCTATTGTTGCAGCGCTTTGTTTATGCTGCAAAAAGAAGCATGAAATGATTTCATTAAAAAAGTTGTAAACTTTTTCATTTAATTTAACTGCAAACATCTTTTGTGCCTGCGCTCGCCGTATTATTCGCATTTTCCATAGCCAGGCCAACTGCCACGCCCCCGCCTCTTTGGGGGCTCACATTATACGGCGAATCGCGAATTGAAAACTGTGAAAAGCGAGCGTTTCAATTAAACTTTTCGCTTTTCAATTGAGGGCGCAAAAGTCGCTCCTCCTGCAATTTCTGTCGCACGAAAGCTCAGCCGCTGCCCTGACGATTTGCACTTTAAATGTCAGCCAGTCCCGCTTGGCATATAATTGAAATGACGAGCTAATTGAGTTATTCCGCTTAATTGCAGGCTACGATGTGTGTGCGTGTATGTGTGTGTGAGTGTCAGGCCGACAACTCATATCTGCACTAGCTAAAAACTAAACAGTATCTGGCGTAAACGAGCACTCGCAGAACAACAATTATTTTGGACTTGCAGGCTGGCAAATAATTCAATTATGGCCACAATACACGCTGTCACACAGGGGGACAGAGCGAGACAGGCAGAAAGAGAGAGGGAGATGGAGTGGTGGCTGCAACCCTTAAGCTGCTAGCTGGCACGCGTGCTGGCACAACATGTCGTATTAGTAATATTTAAACACAAAAGCTCAGCAAATGTTTGACATGCGTCGCCATTAGCCGAGCGATGCATTGTGGCACGCATAGCCAAGCGGCCCGGAGGGGGCGGGCGCGGCAAATTCAATTTTCGCATAAAACAAAGGCAACGTATCCACTCCAGGCGACTCGCCTCGACTCTTCTCGACTATAATAACAACAATAATAATCTTCTTAGAAGCCAGCGATGCGAAAGTGAAGAAATGCGTTGTAATTCCAAAGTTCGCTGCCGTCAAATGGAAACAAGGCAACAATATTGCAGCATATGGAGGCAGGCTAGCTGCTTGGCGGGCGCAAGCGGTGCCAGCAATGCCAGCCGTGCCACATTAAGCCGCACAGTGGCTTGCATGCCAAAGAATGTGGTTGCAAATATAAATATCTATGTATATAAGGAAAATGCCTTGCCATCTCCCGCTCTCGCTCCCTCCTCGCCTTCTCTCACTCTCTCTCTGTCTCTCGCTATGAAATGTGTCATGTTGACAGCGTGGAAATGTCACTCATGCGGCGTCGTAATGAGTTTTGCCAACATTGAATATATATATCCACAACCCCCAACCCCCAACCCCAACCCCCAGCTCCAGTCATCATTCTCGTCCTCATCCAAGACCCCCATTAAGCAGCACATGTCCATCCCCTGCAGTAAGTTCGCAATGCAGCTAACGCCCACTAGGCGTATGTGCACTGCGCCACAGATGTGGAGGCAAGGCGTAGTTCTTGCCACAGTCTTGCCACACAATGGCATCGTTTCAGGCAAATGGTTCCAGTTGTTCAACTGCGAGCTCTAAATTTATTGATTGACTGATTGATCTACTAACTGATGGAGCAGCCGAGAGGGAGTCTAAATGTAAGCTCTGATGTATTGATTGATGGCTGATGATCATTCACCGAATAAGTGATTTCAATTGTGATTTACTGCCTGTCTGCACTGCATGACTAATTGATTGACTGACGGACTGACATAGGTGCTTGATGAGTTGACAAATTGTTCTTCGACTGCTGATTGAGGGATTTTTGGATGATTGATTAACCGATTGATATATTGCTCGATTCGTATACAGATTAATGATGAGATGTTTAAATGGTTAGCAACTGATTGACAGATTGATTGACGTTCAACATGAGAGGCAGTTTGATTGAAGCATACATATGCTAAAATCTGATTAAATGCTTGGCTGCTTAAAAGGCTTACTATATTGATTGACTCACTCTTGATAAATGACTAACGCAGTTTTTATATACATCCCCGGTTTTCTCTGAGTCTCACTATGTCTCAGTGCTAGCCAAAGCAATATCAATCAGATATAATCAGAGCACACCTTCGCCTGAAGTAGCATCGGGATAAGGCCTTCGCAGTCAACTCTGCTATTAGTTATCAAGGTCCACTGCAGCAGTCGAACAAAACATATAAGTACAATATAGATACTATATGCGCTGAGCCGAGTCCTGATGAGGGCGGCGGAAGAGGACTGCTCGAGCAGGAGGCATCTGTGCCACATTTGAGAAACTGCATCTCAAGGACTGAGCGCTGGGCTTGCAGCTCGACGTTGGTGTTGGGGCTGTGTGTTATGGCGCTCGATTCGATGTTTGCTAGAGCGAGAGCGAGAGAGAGAGAAAGAGAGAGAGAAGAGTTGGCCCGCACGAGACCAGGCAAAGAATAAATTTGCCTTTTGGCCAACAAAGTTGTGAGTGCCCACGCCCACGCCCACTCTCACGCCCACGCTCATGTCGAGGCTCAAGAGTCAACAATGGAATGTCAGTAACGCCCACAAGCCCAAACTAAAACACCAACACATACTCACACACACACACATCTATGACAATGGACGTACGTAGCCGGAAGCCAAAGACGGAGACGGAGAGAGAATGAGAGAGGGAGAGAGAGATAGACAGAGACGTCGACGTTGACGCTGGCAGCTGCCGTACAATTTCCATTGTAGTAGAATTTCACAATAATTGCAATGCAGTTGTTGTTGCAGTTGTTGCTGTTGATGTTGTTGTTGTTGTTGTACTACTATATGGAACGTAGTATGCTCTATATACGATACACTTTTGCCTTTTTCGGTCATGCAGCCCACAGCAGAGCGAGAGAGTGCAGCACACAAAATATCGATCGACTTAAATGAATTTAGGTCAGCCAAAGTCCCCGCCCTGCCCCCTGGAACCACCCTCGGAGACCGGGGTGGTGGTGTGTGTGCATCTTACAGATACATGGATAATGAAGGGTGGGAGCAGTGGGAGCAGTGAGAGCAGTGAGTGCAGGGGGAGCACGGAAAATGTCAGCCACTACTCACGTAACTTATTTT